AAATTGTATAGTCAACCATGTGCGGCAATAAAGGTAAATGGGGAAATATCAGAGAGATTTAAGATGTACAACGGGACCCGTCAGGGATGTCCATTGTCACCTTTGCTGTTTGTCCTGTCCTTAGAATCCCTCTTAGCAAAAATAAGGAAAAACACATATATTAAGGGAATTTGTATAGGAGAGACAGAACATAAAGTAGCGGCGTATGCCGACGATCAGCTGTTTTATGTAGGTAACTCAAGGATAACATTACCCAATTTAATAAAAACACTGAAGGAATATGGGGAGCTGTCTAACCTAATGATTAACCCAACTAAAACAGAAATCTTGAACATAAATCTTCCGAGAAGAGAGAAAAAGGCTTTACAAAGAGTTTTCTTTTTCTTGGAAGGAAAAAGAACTAAAATATTTGGGAATAAATTCAACCATATCCTTAAAGAATTTATATAAAGCAAATTATGTCCCATTATTAAATAACATCAGAGATGAAATGAGAAAACTTGGGACAGGTGGAATATCTTGGATAGGACGAATAAACCTAATTAAGATTGTAATTGTTCCAAAAATTCTATATAAATTCCAGATGACCCCAATAAAGCTGCCAGGACATTTTAAAAGATATTTTAATTCAGTATTGGTAGCTCGAATTTTTGACTGGGCACACAATGCACAGGGGAAAAGTTGGATAAGTATAGAAAACACAGTAAGTAAAACACATTTGAGTAAGATAATATGGTTACCACCTCATTGTCGTGGAATGAAAGACAGCACAAGTATTGTTTTGAAAGTGTGGGACATAATGCACAAACAGATGGGATGGGAATTTAACTCATTGTTGATGCCTATCGTAAACACAGATTTCTTCCCACCGGGGAATGAAAAGGTTGCTGGGAGATGGATAAAAAAAGGAAATGCACAATTGAGAGATTTAATGAAAGGAGAGGAAATCTGTCCCCTAGCGGAAATGAAAAAGAATAAGGAGCTGTTCATTAAAGTAGATAAGTGGCGGCATTTACAAATGAAACATTTTGTAGAAAAACTCCCTAGGCCTTTAAGGAAAAAAGGAAATTGGAATCCATTTGAACTTTTGTTTAGTACATGGGGGGATGGGAACCACGCAACTTTGAAAATATATAACATTTTTACTAAGTTAGCAACAAACACGGTCCCCGCATATATGGAGAGATGGGAAAGGGAATTAGGAATAAGGATAGAGGAAGAGAAACAAAAAAAGATGTATAAGTTAACACACTGTAATATAAGTATGAAGGATTTAGAGATGAATTATAAATGTTTAGCAAGGTGGTATATGACACCAAATATAGTACACAAACAAAATAAGGATAAATCACCATTATGTTGTAGGGGATGTGGGGAACAGGGCACAGTAGGTCACATTTGGTGGGAGTGTTATAAGATCCAAAAATATTGGGAAGAAATAATCCTCCAGATAAAGGAAATAACTGGGATAAAAATGCCAAAAGAACCAGAGATATGTCTTTTACATGGAACAGAGCTAACGGTTGAAAAATATAAAAAATATGGGTTATTGCAATATATTAATGCAGAAAAAAGTTTGATTCCTAAGTTTTGGAGGAAACAAGAAGTACCAAAAACAACGGATTGAATAAGAAAGGTAGATCAGATATATAGAATGGAGGAACTATACCATATTGATGAGGATAAAATGGAGTGGTTTCATGAAAAATGGAAAAAATGGGAGGAGTTTAAGAAGGTTAAATTAATTGAAAGCATATAGGAAACAGGAATGGAAGAAAACCCTAGGACTATAAAAGAGAGGGGAAGGATGCTGAGTGGAGGGGGGGGGGGGGGGGGGGGGGGGGGGAGAATGAGATATGAATTGGGAGGGGGGGGGGGGGGTAGGGGGGAGTTTTTGTATTTTTGTATTTGGGTGAAAATAGTCGCATAAAAGATGTTGTTTTTATTGATGGAAAAGATGAAATGTAAAAATTTTAATAAAATATTAATAAAAAAATAATAAAAAGTCGTCACAGCCCTGCTAAAACGCCAGGTTTCTGTGATGTAAAAAAAAAAATGAGACAAAGATAAATAATTTCAGAACTTTTTCCACCTTAAATGTAACCTAAAAACTGTACAACTCAGTTGAACAACAAACTGAAATCTTTTAGGTGGAAGGAAGTAACAATTTATTTAAAAATATAAAAATAAAATAATATGGTTGCATAAGTGTGCACAACCTTAAACTAATACTTTGTTGAAGCACCTTTTGATTTGATTCCAGTACTCAGTCTTTTTGAGTCTATCAGCATGGCACATCTTGACTTGGCAATATTTGCTCGAGCTTCCTTGCAAAAATATTCCAAATCTGTCATTGCGAGGGCATCTCCTGTGCACAGCCCTCTTCAAACCACCTCACAGATTTTCAATTGGATTCAGGTCTGGGCTCTGGCTGGGCCATTCCAAAACTTTAATCCTCTTCTGGTGAAGCCATTCCTTTATTGATTTGGATGAATGCTTTGGGTCGTTGTCATGCTGAAAGATGAAGTTCCTCTTCATGTTCAGCTTTCTAGCAGAAGCCTGAAGGTTTTGTACCAATATTGACTGGTATTTGGAACTTCATAATTCCCTCTACCTTGACTAAGGCCCTAGTTCCAGCTGAAGAAAAACAGCCCCAAAGCATGATGCTGCCACCACCATGCTTCACTGGTGGGTATGGTGTTCTTTCGGTGATGTGTGTTTTTGCGCCAAACATATCTTTTGGAATTGTGGCCAAAAAGTTCAACCTTGGTTTCATCAGACCATAACACATTTTCCACATGCTTTTGGGAGACTTCAGATGTGTTTTTGCAAAATTTAGACAGGCTTGGATGTTTTTCTTCCTAAAAAAAGGCTTCCATCTTGCTAATCTACCCCATAGCCCAGACATATGAAGAATACGGAAGATTTTACATGTACCACACAGCCAGTACTTGCCAGATATTCCTGCAGCTTCTTTATGTTGCTGTAGGCCTGTTGGCTGCCTCCCAGACCAGTTTTCTTCTCGTTTTTTCATCAATTTTGGAGGGACGTCCAGTTCTTGGTAATGTCACTGTTGTGCCATATTTTCTCTACTTGATAACTATCTGCGCTGTGTTTCATGGTATATCTAATGCCTTCTTTAGTACCCTTCTTTTGACTGATACCTTTTGACAATGAGATCTCTCTGATGCTTTGGAAGCTCTCTGCAGACCATGGATTTTGCTGTAGGATGTGACTAAGAAAATGTCAGGAAATACCTACTAGAACAGCTGAACTTTATTTGGGATTAATCAGAGGCTCTTTAAATGTTGGCAGGTGTGTACTGACTCCTATTTAACATGATTTTGAATGTGATTGCTTAATTCTGAACACAACTACATCCTCAGTTATAAGAGGGTGTGCACACTTATGCAACCACATTATTTTAGGTTTTTTATGTTTACTGTACAGTTTGTAGGTCACATTAATGGTGAAAAAAGTTCTGAAATTTATTTATCTTTAGTCTAATTTTTTTACATCACAGAAACCTGACATTTTAACAGGGTATGTAGACTATTTATATCCACTGTTTCTGAAAAGTGTGGCGTGCATTTGTGTTCCTCCCCCCGAGTCAAAACTTTGTACAACCTCCTTTCACTGCAATTACAGCTGCAAGTCTTTTTGGGTATGTCTCTACCAGATTTGCACATCTGGAGAGTGACATTTTTGCCCATTCGTCTTTGAAAAATAGCTCAAGCTCTTTCATATTGAAAGGAGAACATCTGTGAAGAGCAATTTTTAGTCTTACTGCAGATTCCCAATTGGATTTAGGTCTGGACTTTGACTGGGCCATTCTAACACATGAATATGCTTTGATCTAAACCATTCCATTTTAGCTTTTACTGTATGTTTAGGGTTGTTCTCCTGCTGTAAGGTGAACCTCTGCCCCATTTTCAAGTCTTTTGCAGACTCTATCAGATTTTCTTCTAAGATTGCCCTGTATTTGGCTCCATCCATCTACCCATCAACTCTGATCAGCTTCCCTGTCCCTGCTGTAGAAAAGCATCCTCACAACATGATGCTGCCACCACAATGTTTCACGGTGGGGATGGTATGTTCAGGGTGATATGTGGTGTTAGTTTTCCGCCACACAGAGTTTTGCAAACAGTTCAATTTTGGCTCATCTGACCAGACTACCTTCTTTCACATGTTTGCTGTGTCCCCCACATGGCTTCTCGCAAACTACAAATGGCTTTCTTTCAACAATGGCTTTCTTGGATGTGGAGTTGTGGATCTCTGCAGCTCCTCCAGAGTTACTGTGGGTCTCTTGGCTGCTTCTCTGATTAATGCTTTCCTTGCCCAGCCTGTCAGTTTAGGTGGACGGCCATGTCTTAGTAGGTTTACAGTTCTGCCATACTCTTTCCATTTTCGGATGATGGATTGAACCGTGCTCTGTGAAATGTTCAAAGCTTGGGATATTTTTTTATATGCTAACCCTGCTTTAAACTTCACAACTTTATCCCTGGCCTGTCTGGTGCATTCCTTGGCCTTCATGATGCTGTTTGTTTACTAATGTTTTCTTACATACCTCTGAGGGCTTCATAGGACAGCTGTTCTTATACTGATATTAAATTACACACAGGTGGAATTGGTTCCATTAGATTTCAGTTAGGGGTATCAGAGTAAAGGGGGCTGAATACAAATACACCCCACACTTTTCAGATATTTATTTGTAAAAATTTTTGAAAACCATTTATCATTTTCCTTCCACTTCACAATTATATGTCACTTTGTGTTGTTCTGTCAAATTAAATCCAAATAAAATACATTTACATTTTTGGTTGTAACATGACAAAATGTGGAAAATTTCAAGGAGTATGAATACTTTTTCAAGGCACTGTAGAGTGGTTGTCTATGGTATATGAAATATAAGCAGACTGCCTGAATATTCTGTACTGTAATACTTTGTGGCAATATGAACGACTTTCTACTGTAAGCATAATTTAATTTCTTTTAAACAGCTGCGTGCAATGTCAGGAGCCTTCAGGACTTGGCCCGCATCTATATTCGTCGCACACTTAGAAACTGCATAAATGAGGAGATGCAGGCCAAAGGTATACCTCCAAAGGCACCCCCAAAGCGAAAAAGGAGGCGGTGCCGCAGGCGCCGCATAAACACCTATGTATTTGTAGGAAACCAACTTATTCCCCAAGCCTTAGATAGCGACGACGATGAAAAAATTGATGAGGACAGTAAAGAAGAAGAGAAGGATCATAATGAGGCACTGAAAGCCGAGGAACCTCCACCAAATCTTCTTCGGGAGAAAATTCTGAGTTTACCTCTCCCTGAATCTTTAAAGGCATACTTGACCTACTACAGAGAGAAATGATATATGTGAAACTAAAACTGTAATGCCTGCTGATTTCATTTCTTTCTTGAAAATGTAGCATTTGTTAATAAACTATTTGGCAGTTAAACCTTTTAGTGACAGTTTCAGTGGACACCTAAAACTGTCTAGACTCCATTAAGCTTTTTTTTTTGTAGAATTTCTCTATTTTCTCTACATTTTCAGATACAGAATACACACATTTTTAGTGTAGCAAGTTATCACTTTGTAACATAGCTTGCAATTTGGAAAGAACTTCTGTAGCCCTGAGTTAAGATACAGGACAAAGCACACTTCAGACAGGTCCAAGTGAATAGTAGTTGGCTTATATAGCCATCGAAGATGCTTCAGTCACATTGAAACATTCCATTCTGTTTCACTTTTTAAACATTTGTTTATATATCACAGTTGAAAGCAATTGTAAAAGATTAGCATGATAACATTTTGTGGATGCCACAAACTGTGTGATTGCTGAAAAGTGTCAGATAAGGAAATTGTGCTGCCTTTTGAAGAAATTGTTGCTCGTTACAATCTTCTTTAAAGTAATCAATTCTATGTGTGTTCCGTATAACCAATTTGTTGAACTCTTCAGTGGATATCTATGAATATCCAGTTTTATAGTGGTAAAATATTTGTTGTTTGCTGTAATTAAGGGAGTTTTCAGTAGACATTTCACTGTGCTCCATTAGTTATATTTTCATGATATTCCATCTGGTTGTTTTTTTTTTTTTTTTTTTCTCATGTAAGAGAAAATGTATGTTAAGTAAAAAAAAATAACCTTTTTTGATATAGACCTAATGTTCCATGTAACGAGAACATGAGAGTAAATTTAGTCATTGGATGGACTCCTTCTGGAACAAAATACTATAAGAGGCTGGTTTTGTAGGTAATGGAACTAGACACTGCATGTGTTTGTTATCCATTATAAATGCCTGTTCATGTTTGGTCATCTTTAAATTCTAGAATGTGAAACAACTGCATTTGCTGCAGTAATTGTTTCTGGAAATTTTGTAATTCAACAAGTGGCAATGCGCCATGAAGCAAGGTATGAATAGTGAAGGCCTCATTAGTCTTGTTGTAATCTTTTTAAGAGTGTCTGACTCACCTGAGTTTAAAGATCTGCAAATGTGTTACTGTAAAAACAACATAAGCAGACTGCTATATTGACATACACTATGTATCCAAAAGTTTGTGAACAGCTAATCATCACACCTGTTATATAGGAAAGTGTATGTGAACAACCCTCCAAATTATTGAGATCCACTGTTTCCTATGTGGGATTCTGTTAATACAGATATTTAAACAATTGTGCACACCCTGCCTTGTAGCAACATTATAGGGAAAGCCTTTTTCTTTTCCAACATGACTTTGCACAAAGCAGGTCCATAAAGACATAGTTTGACGAGTTTAGGGTGGAGAATTTCAAGAGGCCTGCACAGAGTCCTGATCACAACCCTACTGACAGCAAAAACCAATGAACACTATTCTGTACTCCTACTTCTGGACCTCTCAGCTGCCTTTGATATTGTAGACCACCGCCTCCTCCTCAAAAAACTTTACTTCCTTGGTATCTGTGACTGTGCTCTTCGTTGGTTCTCATCCTACCTATCCCACCGCACCTTCAGTGTCAATTCTACTTCCTCCTCTCCTCTTCCCTTTTCCGTTTGGGGTCCCGCCAGGTTATGTTCTCAGACTTCTCCTATTCTCAATCTACACCTCCTCCCTGGGTCAGCTGATAGCCTCCCATGGCTTTCAATATCATTTCTACGCTGACGACACCCAAATCTATCTCTCGACCCCTCAGCTCACAACAACAGTCTCCTCATGTATCACTAACTTACTGACTGACATATCAGTCTAGATGTCACACCACTTCCTCAAACTCAACCTATCCAAAACCGAGCTCTTAATATTTCCTCCCCCACATGCCCCTTCCCATAACTTCTCTATCAAGATCAATGGCACAACCATTAACCCACCCCCCCATGCCAGAATGCTAGGTGTAATCCTGACTCTGAACTCTCCTTTCGGCCCCACATCCAGCCACTTTCCAAATCTTGCCGTCTCAACCTCCGCAACATCTCGAAAATACGCCCCTTCCTAACCAATGACACCACAAAGCTCCTAATTCACTCCCAAGTAATCTCTCACCTCGATTACTGCAACTCCCTCATTGGCTTACCTTTACATAGGCTATCTCCCCTCCAGTTTATCACGATTGCTGCTGTTATACTCATGCACCTTACCAACCAATCAGTGTCTGCTACCCCTCTCTGCCATTCCCTGCATTGGCTGCCACTCACCCAACAAATTAAATTCAAAATACTAACAGCTTACAAAGACATCCAAAACTCTGCTCCCAGCTACATCACTAACCTAGTCTCAAAATACCAACCAAATTGCACTCCTCCTTCCTCCCAAGACCTCCTGCTCTCTAGTTCCTTTGTCACCTGCTCCCATGCTTGCCTGCAGGACTTCTCCTGAGCCTCTCCCATCCTATGGAATTTCCTACCTCAATCTGTCCGACTATCTCCAACTCTGTCCACTTTTAGGCGATCCCTGAAAACTTTTCTCTTCAGAGAAGCCTATCCTGCCTTCACCTAACAACTGTACATGTATTTTATCTATCGACTCATCCCCCACAGTTATTACCTTTTGTGTCGCTTCACCCTCCCGTTGTAGATTGTAAGCTCTAGCGAGCAGGGCCCTCCGATTCCTTCTGTATTCAATTGTATTGTAACTGTACTGTTTGCCCTCACATTGTAAAGCGCTGCACAAACTGTTGGCGCTATATAAATTCTGTATTATAACAATAATAGTAATGCTGAACATCTTTGGGATGAATTGGAGTGCCAGTTCGAGCCAGGTCTTTACGTTCATCATCAGTGCTTGACATCACAGATAGTTTCCGAGAGGAGTGGAGGCTGTTATAGCCATAGTTTTCGAATGTGATGTTCACCAAGCTTATGTAGGTGTGATGTTCAAGCATCTACATACTTTTGATCATTTAGTACATTTACAGTTTTTTTGCACTACTGACTTTCATTGTATACCATTAGTGGCTTCCTTAAAGGAGAAGGAGTAACTTTCAGTTCCCTTTGGGATATTTCTAGTCCTCTGACCTTATTAGGGGGTCTCTTAATGTAGGAACTTTTGTGACAGGCAAAGCTTGGCTTTTTAGCTGAGCTTCTGATGTCCCCTGCTTATGTAAACTCCACATAGATTTCAATTAAAAGTCCAATAGAGGGCACAGGAGACTTTTATCACTTATCTTCCAATGGACTTCTCAAATGAACATACTGTATAAAGAGCTCACTTCAGCAGGTGATATGAGAAGTTCTGCTGAAAAGCCAAACACATTGTCACAGCAATGGTAGGAGTTGCAGCAAGTTCATCGCTAGGGTAGAAAGGCTGCAGACTTGAGTCATTTTTGTTTTTTTTTAGTAAAGGCTATTTAAGTGAACAGATCATATCGGAACGCCTGTTTTTGTTGGCTCATTGTGCCAATGCAAATGAAAGGTTTTAGCAGCATTTTCATTAACTTGTGCTGTTATGTGGTCTTAAGGTTTGAAAATGTGTCTGTGACATTTTTCAATAAATAGGCTCTAAATGTATTGTAAGTTATCTGCTTATTTTCATCTTATCATTCAGATAAGTGGTGATCTTTATTATTCAGATGCACCTAGACATTTGTTCCCTCTAATCAAGTGGATAAATTGAGCTGTTGTTCTCCCAAAGTGCCTGATTTACTTAGCTGTGAATCAAGTTAAAGTGAACCAGAGTTCGCGTCAAGCATCCACTTAAATGTAAAAGATGTATTTTTTCAAATTCACCCTAGACCTGATTGGTTGCTTGTAGTGCACAGAGATGGACTTTTCTTTGCTTTACACTTTAGCATGTTAGACTCACATGGGTTAATTTACCAAAACTGGAGAGTGCAAAATCTGGTGCAGCTGTGCATGGTAGCCAATCGGCTTCTAACTTTAGCTTGTTCAATTAAGCTTTTGACAAAAAACCTGGAAGCTATTTGGTTTCTATGCAGAACTTCACTAGATTTTGCACGCTCTAATCAACCCCATGGTGTGAGAGAGCACAGTACAGTCATGCACAGAGAAGTGGACAGTGGGAAAGTATGTCTGAGTGCAACAAATTGCTTGTACAAATACAGCTTTTCACTCTTCTGAAGAAAGCCAGTTGACCATGTTTTCAATTTCTACACCATGACATTTTAAACATAACTGTACAGTTTTCTGAGAGACAGTTTATAACTGAAGATGTAAAGTAATATTAACTCAGCCTCTGAGCTAACACAACACACCTATTCTGCATGATATTACTGGGCAGCGTTTTGAATCAATTTCTTCCAATTATGTATTGTTATTCTTTCAGTAAAAGGAACGTGCTGAAATATGTAGTTTCTGTGAAAGCGTAGATCAATACTTTTTTTCAGTTTTGTTTCTGAGAAAAATAGGGTATACAAAATGAATTACCCAAGCCGGGGCGGACTGACCCATTTGGAAACTCGGGCACTGCCTGAGGGCCCGGAGTCAGTAGGGGGCCCCATGAGATGCCCCTGGTACCTTTTTCATAGGCTTTTTTGAGTTTGGGCAAGGACACATAATCTCCTATTGCCCGGGGGCCCCATGATTTGTCAGTCCGCCCCTGACCCAAGCTCTTCTGCCTACTTTATCACCAGGCAAAGGAAAAAGCCTTGTCTCTTACTACATAAAGGCCCATTCACACTTCTGTGCTTTAACTGCATGCATTTGTAATGTTTTTTGTAATATGTAATGCAGTTTTTTCTTGCATTAGTGTACATTTTAGGCACATTGCATGTGATATGCATGTTTGCTTTTTGTCTTTTTTTTTTAGTGGAAAAGAAGCAAGTGGCCCTGTAAATGACAAAATAATTATAAAACATGTTGTACATGGGCTTCTTTTCCCCGCATTAAGGCTCATTTGTAATTAAATACACCTAAAGTGCAGCATGTAGGATTTAGGAA